AGCCGCTGGTGCCTCTGCAAGAAACAGCATTTGTGGGTTGCAAGAATTTCCACCGATGTAATGAATTAGTTGTGAGTGGCCTCTTAAGGTTTTCTTCAGTGGAAAAGATGAAATAATCTAATTATGTCTTCTTCTCTCTGCGGTAGAACTAGCTAATTCTTTATGCAAACATAAAGGCGTATTTCTACTCAAGATTTGTAAGATGGATAAGTATTTGGCCTAACCAGGAAACTGAAAATCAAAGCTGAAAGTCCATGCTGGTTATAAGCTCTGCAGGCAGTTACCTATGATTACAACTTAATGCACCGCATGGAAGCTATATGGGGCTATTCACCAGCTGCTGTCAGAATCAAGTCATAAAGTTGTTTCTGCTTGCTGTTTGTGTACTAGCAACATTTAGAAAGGCTCATTTGGCATGCATATGCCTGTCACTGCGATAAGAGGGGAAAAAATTACTGTCTGAAGTTGTCATTGTAAATTACAGAAGTTGCTTTACCAGCTGACTGTTTTCTCTTGACAGATGCACCCTGATGGTAAACAGCATCCTTTCCCATGTGGAAACAAATGTACCGGTTGAGCAATCAACTCTGTACATGATTTCTCTTCAGAACTCACATTTTTTTGCCTATACTTCTAATCTGACACTTAGCCAGAGGGACTTTTCAGAGTTTCTCAGTATATTTTTTACTGCATAAGCAGAGGTCATAGTCATTGCTGCTGTTATGTCCTGGGTACAAGTTGCAGTCAGCCGATCCAGTGAGGATATATTTGATGAAGATGCAGATGAGATGTATCTACTACAGAAAGAATGGAACAGCACCATGAAAAAAAGATTGAAGGTATTTCGTTAACAACGATTTAATAGTCTTTTTAGCCATTTTAGATTTACTGACACATACCTTGATATACCTACAGCTGATTTAAAGGGAAAACTAAGAGTGGTTGCTTAAAAGTTATTGTGGCTTAGTTTCTTCTGAATATCAGGAAAATTTAGCAGGGATTTACAGGAACTCTATCCTAGTAGTCTATCACAGAAAACTACTGTTTTACCAAAAGACATTGGCTCCCTCTGTACGACCATGTGCATTTGTAAAAGGCAGTGCTCAATTCCAATGCGAGCTATTTGCTTTGTATGTGTAGGTATACCACTAGTAAATGTAAGGCAACACAGCTAAACAGTGCTAATAAAGAAATAGGAGACGTTTGGGTTTTTAAGTAGAGTTCTTCATCAGTCAGATTTAAGATGTGTGACTCCATGTGGAACCACAATTGGACGCTGTGGTCTGGGTGGTTTTGTGGTGTATTTATTCTCCTAGTGAAAAATATATTTTATGAAAGCAGGTTTCCGCAGCCCTTCCCTCCCTTGAATTCTATAGGGAACAAAACAAGTATGGAAACCCAGGTTACTTCAACAGATACGTTATCATTCCGGGTGGGGCCAGTAGGCCTCGTCTGCTCATGGGTGAACAGCATTTGGCTGAAGAACATGGATGGAAGCTGTTGTTTAGGCTGTTGATGAGGAAGGGTATTACAACAGAGCTGTTGTGTTATTCTCCAAGGAAAAGGTTCCTGCATCTGACTGAGTCCCTGGAAAAGACTGATTTTCTTAAGGGGCTGCTTAGTGTTCTTACACAAATATCTCCGGTATTGTATGAGTAGATACTGCAAAATTATAAAATGTTATTGCAATTAGAGCTGTATGTTTGGCAAAATAAAGAAACATTCTTGCTCCTGGCTATTTCTCTAGCAAGGCCACCAGTTTTCATCTCTCATAAGCACATAGAAGTTTTCAGTCTTACAATTTGCAGTTTCAGTGTGAAAAAAGTTAAGTTATTCTACATTTTATGGTAATGTGATTAGGATATAAATAAATTAATTTGCATTACAATCATTAGCTGTTTATTACAGAAAGCAATCACAATGTTGCATGTATTTGTATGTGACTCACTCCGTCACCATCTTTTTTTCTAGTATAACTCTTGAATTGAGTGAGATCTGACAAATAGGGAAGCAAGGCTCAATAATTAGTTTTGTGAAAGCAGGTAGGTGGATTACAGATATGAGAGTGCCTCTGCTAAAGGGGAGGCTTTGCAGCCTAGGTGGCTTTAGATATCTAGAAATCTATATGTAGTATTCTTTAAGGATTTTTTCATAAAGGAGTTGGTCATCATTAAAGCAAGCATGCTTTCCTGCAGATTTGTCGTAATTTTTGATGTTTCTAAAAATACTTTCCTTATTTTCTGAACTTCTGGGGATCCTTTTGGAAGAGAACTGGATCTTACAAATGAGTAAATCATCATTCTCTACAAAAAGCGTGTTTTGGTTTGGCAGTAGGATTGTAGCTGGGAGGGATGTTCAAATCTAGAAGCTGTAACTTAAGAGACTGAACACTTGTTTAAACTTTTTTTTATTGTTATAAAGTTGTCATAGGTCCAATTTTTCATCCTGTGAGCAACCTGTTTCACTGCTTTTGTTATAGGAAGGCTATAGGGATGGAATTGAGGCTGGGAAAGAACTTGCACTCCAGGAAGGCTTTAATCAAGGTTACAGACATGGTGCTGAGCTGATGGTTACATGTGGCCAGTTCAGAGGAACCCTGAGGTAGGTTACAAACTCCTTAAGGTTGTGTGCGTGTGGAGGGAGGGAATGTGCATGCAGTTTTTTTGTTTGTTATAATTTAAAAAAAAAAAACCAAAACCAAAACCCACACTGTAAATCTGTCCAGAGTAAACAACCTGAGAATTCTCAGGGAAATGCATACCTGGATATGGAGTGATCATTCTTAAAAATAATCCTTCAGTTACCTTTCCAGAACTATCTGAATCTACATCTTCAAGCTTAATATTCAGTTCTACTGCTTGACTTTCCCAGAAAATGTGAACAAAATATATACATTTATATAATATAGATATCTTGTAACATTACTATCTCCCTTCAACACCTGGAGGTCTGTGTGGATACATGTAATCACTTTTTTTTTTTGTTCTTCACTTTCCAGTGCTCTCTTATCCTGGTGTCATTTTAATGGACATGATTCTGCTTTAAGTAAGATAAATAATCTTCTTGATGTGGTTGGAAAGCATGAAGAAGATGTGCTTAAGTATCTGAATTCTACTGATCAACAGCCACATCTTGGACACATTTTAGATTCTGTTCAGGACATGGACCTTAATCACACAGCTCCAGCTGGGACAGAGTACAATGAAGTTAAAGCTGGAAAACATGAAGATGTTGGCAGCTCTAGTGAAAATATTTGTAGAAATAATGGTGAGGTTGGTTCCTTGCAGTCCGAGTGCAGCAAGACAAAACTCTGCACAGATCCTGAAAGGTCAACGCTTGCTTGGGTTAAAAAGCAGACTATTTGGCTAGTAGAGCAACTGGGCTTATCACTGGATGTACTCCATCATGTCCAGCAACTGGAACATCAGTGTCAGGAACTGTCTCATGGTATTTAAAATTACCTCAATTGGATTTGATTCTCAGTTTGTGGACCATGTACAGGCTGATACATCACTTCATTTTAGGGAACTCTGATACTTCCCAGTAGAGGTAATTTCTGTAAATCTTCACCATGCTTTGGCTCCTGGAAAAAAAACCTCTTGCATTCAGTCTTAAGCATAATGTTCACAGAAAGGGGAAATTACTTTTAAAGCTCTACAAAGATTTACATGTTCTGTGTCAGAAGCTATGATTTCACCTTCACTTTCTCTTTAGACAGCAGTTCAGACATGGAGCAGGTCCCCTAAATAGTCCCTTTAAATAGGTCTCCACTAATATCTAAAAAAATAAGTGCTATGGACAAGCTATTCTTGCAGAATAAGCTGCTGATGGTGATATGCTAACTATGTGCAAAATAGAATGGGACTTGCTGCTGATTTCTAGAGTGCTGTGACTCTCTAGTGGCTATATAAAATGGAGGAATTTTTCACCTTTTGTCAAATTCTTCCTTTTACCTTTTGTAACCACTATGCAGTGCACTTTTGTGGTTGAAAACTGGTTTTTTCCTCCTCAGACAGTTCTATTTATTTCACTTTTGCTGAACACACACCATTCTCTTCAAATGCAGAATTACTGACAATTCCATTGTTTTACTGTTAGACCATCAACTCTTACCCTGTTAGACCACACTGATCACATTTCCAGTCTAATGAACTTCCTTGTGTTATTTTTGTGTTTATTTTGCCTGTTCTTCTAGCCTGAACTCTCCCTCCCTCACTCCCATAGTGTTTTTCCCAAACTCTTCAGGAAGCCAGGCTTATTTTCCTTCTCTTAGAAACACACTATCAGCCACACATGCATATTCCTGACAACTTTGTATTTATGTGCCAGTGTTCTATGTTTGACTCCTTTTCCTGTTGCTTGCCTTAACTGTAGCTGCAAATTGCTCTTGTCAGGAAGACTTTTCTTTGTGAATGCCTATCTCTGGTTTTACACTAATTAAACTGTTTTACAGTAAGTTAGGGGTTTACTTGTTTTAAATTGTTTATAACTTCCCTTCATGTCTGAGACAAAGCAGGACTAGACAGAGACAACTGCAATTTTGAATAGCCAGCTTAACTACACTTAAAAACAGTTTTGTGATTTTTTTTTTTTTATACTTTGAGGCCAGAAAAAAAAGCTAAGGTAAAAATTACTTTATTTTCAGATACTGAGTTTACAACTTTCTTACTAAAGACTATTATCCTGCCACGGAGTTGGTAGACTGTAAGTTTGCCTGCCATTCAGTACCACTTTGCATTAGGGGAAAATAGAACTGCAATTAAGAGTCTCTTACTGAACCTGTTTCTGAAATAGTGGGCAAATAGGTCTGTCTGCATTAATTATGTATGTACAAAATTGTTCAAACAACTTTTTCTCAATTTAGTGTAATGCTGACATGGATAAACATTACTTTTCTACAAGTTATGTCATAGCCTGTATCACATATGTTAGAAATTTCTTCCATACTGTGGTAGAATATGGTGCAGACAAAAATAACAGGTTACTAGAGCAGTGTTTGATGTTCTAAAGTTGGAAGTTTAAAAATGCAAATTCAAGAGCATTACTTCTATGTATTTAATAGCATCCAAAGAGGAAACTCCATTCACAAATTACTAAGTAGACAGTGAGCTTGCCAAGTTCTCTCCAGCTTCTTCTACAAAAGCAGTCTATGCCAGTGAAAATATTTCTTTCTTGTTTGATTATCAAACACTAGATTGTGTATTTTCCTTACCTATCATAACAGCTTCTGTACTAGCTGTGGAATTACTTTCCTCCACTCCACACAAAGTTTCTGTGCTTATTGTGGGGTTACTTTTTTCTCTGTTATCACCTGGAGTTTCCAGTTTGGCTGTGGAGAGATTTTCTTTTGAGCTGTCTGTAGTACTTGGCTTATCACTCACTACCAAATCTTGCTGACCAGCCACAGAAAGACTTTCTCCAGGACTATCAGAATCCGTAATTTGCTCACGTGGTGGTTCAGGTTTTTGTTTCGTGTCTACTTCCACATCTTGTGTTTCACTATCAGCTTTCACCTTGGCAGCATTCCTGAAAATAGCTCTCATGACAACTGGGACTGACATGCACCTGAAGGAGGAAGTGAAACATTAGCCACTGCTACAGACTTCATCCATTCTTCAACATACTACTTTTTTAAAACTGAATGATACATGTGGTGAAAGACAGCACTAGCCTCCTCCCATCTTTTTGCCTTGTACAACCTAATAGGCATTACATTGTAACTACAGTATAACTACATGTGCTATACCGGAAACATGTGTTGACACAATGAAATCAAGTGCTGGATCTTTGAGCTTGGCCATGCAAAGAAGCTTTGATAGAAAGAGTGGGAGCATTTGGTAAAAAACAAAAACAAAAAAAAAACCACAACACCAAAAAAAACCACCACCAAAACAACACACACACACACCAAAACACACCCCTAACAAACAAAAAGGGGTCATAAAGGTGCTTCTAATGAAAACCTAAACAAATAATATTGAAATATATTCACTCTTGCTGAGTTTTATAATTGTAACTTTCATGTTTTATATAGGACATGTACAGAGCGTATCTTTTCTAAAATGCTATCTACACTAGAGGAGTTTCTTTCCACTCAAACAATAGAGTTACTTGGTTCCAAGATTGGTATCTAGTATCCTGTGACTTAAGACAGGACAGGCAAAGTTACACAGGTTTAAAATCCGGCCTGCATTGATCTTGCTGTCATCAAATAAATAGTAGTTGTATACTAGCTTATGCCAAATGAATTACTGTGCTCAGTCCTTTCTCTAGCATATGTTCATGTGTCACACTAACTTGCCTCTCAGCATTTGTTTCAGAAAACAAGCCAGAGACAGTGTTGGAGACATGCCACATACACCTCACTTTCTGAAAAGAAGCACTGATTGGTATTAGGTAGGTATGGAAAAAGTGCTTTCCATGCTATTGTAAGTTATACCAGTCATGAGACTGCCATCAGCTAGAGTCTTCAGAAAAGCATGTTTACAAAAGAAAAAAGCATCTTTATAAAAGGTAAAACTCTTTTCATTCAGAAGTGTTTCCCTAGCCCACATGCTTTCTACTAGAAACACTTTCCATCACTATTAATGTTTAAAATTTTTAAAGGAGATAGATACTTAAAACACTGATGTAACTTATTCTCAGTATTATATCACAACTTTTTACTAGAGTGAAATTTTCTGGTTGCTGAATTTATGGCATTGTGAATGCAGATTATTTTTATATTAAATGGACAACTGAGGTTCATTCCAACTGTTACAAAATAAAATAAAACTACTTACCGCTTCACGGCTCTTGCTATAAAGTCATCACTAGAATTTAGAGTTGGATCTTGACGATTTAAATGAAGGTGACATTGGATTTCTCTGGAGGTTATAACATCAATTAGCACTAAGAAAGAACAGAATACAAGTATTCCAAAATAAACATTTTTATAACCACTGAAAACCATCTTTTCATTCTGATGCTTCAAAAGAGGTAAGACTGAAGTCAATGGGAAGGGGCTTGCAGTAATGCTCTTGCATAAGGCTTGCTTTTTCCTGATATACTTAGATCAGAAACAGTAGAACTTACAGTTTATTAATTGACTGCAGGCCGAGACAGAATAGGACTTGAATATTTGCATTTACTTTCTGTCTTACGCTGAATACAGAAAACTTTTTAGTAAACAATTTATACACAAGTACTACTTTGTGTTTTTCACGGGTTGCACACCATTGAGAATAGCCCTTAGAACGTGTTTGTAACCGAGCAGCATAGTGCAAGAGCCTAGATAGAACCAAGTCCCTTGTCAGGCCAATAAAGAGGGCAGTATCAATTATTCCACACGTACCACAGGCTAAATTCTCTTTCAGAGGATGAAGGAAAAAGACAGAAAAGCTGGTCTTCTTGTGTGGTACCACTTCAAAGTAAAGCAGTTCTGAATTATCTAGAAATAAAATAACTATTTAGTGATACCCAGCCATTGAACCTGGATTCTTTTGGGCTGAATCACATGCCAGAATTTGAAAAAATACTGATGTGGTAGAACCTAATTATTCATTACTTTGGCAACTTAGTTTATGCTTATAGAAGTGTCAGGCCTAGGAGGTTTTTTTTAGAAAAAAATATTCAACAAAGTATAACACTAGAATTCAGGTTTTTTAATCATTGGAAATACTCCACAAGTAATGACAGCTTTGGCAAGTGAGCAGTAAATCTGTTAACACCCCCTTAGAAGCTAGTTTCTCTCCAATACTCTGCCATTACTTCCAACCACACAATTTACCTTCATTTATATGCTTCTCAGAGACACAGCTGCTAATAAGACAGTTATATGCCACTTGATGTCGAAGAATCTCTATTACGTCAGGCACACACTTTGGATGGCTAAATGGAATTTTACTGACCAAGGCTCCTGCTAAATCTGATTTTTCTGAGCCCTTGTTTATGAAGTAACAGTGCTTCGGGCAATCTGGAAGAGACTGAACAACAAATATGGTGGTATTTCAAGCACTGAAAACAAGAAAGTAAAGCTTGATGTTATCAGGCAACTGCACAATCTGACAGCAAAAATATTTTTGGAAGACACGCTTCTAGCATGTCCTTCATGTCTCTCTGCCTTTCAGTAGAAGTATAATCCTTAGAGGAAGCTAAATGAGATCCACTCTCCCTTCCAAATGCATCCAAATTAGGCAAATAAACCCAGAGCCAAGTGGTCAGGAGTTCAGGTGCCTCCAATTCTTCCAACTACTTTTAAGAGCCTTGTGGGCTATAGAAATGCTACCAACCAAGGTCTTCTCTCAGAAGAATGTCATAGTAGTGCTGGTTGACAGTTGTACAAATAAGACAGCAGTTTTGCCTGAAATCTCTCAGGGGTGTCATATGTTTTTCCTCCCTCCATCACTACTGCTTTCTTTGGAGAAGCATGTTTGGCTAGGATATCTCCCAATGATCCATTTGAAGAGGAGGAAAAGAGGAGATAGTAATAAAAGTTCACCACCTGTCCATGTTGACAGTGATTCTATGCAAAATTAGAAGTGCAATATTGTGTTACCTACTTCAGGATGCCAAATGGGAACTGTCACCTCAAGAACAGGGCAGGGCAGTTAATTAGCAGGGTCTACATTAAGAAAAGCTAAAGAGCAGAATAAAAGAACTTTTCCTCATGCGTTCATGGAGCAGAAGGGTTTCCCCTAAATTCCTTTCAAGGTTAGAATTCAATTTAGTAATCTATTTCTCGAAACAGAATCTTTAAACTCAGAAGCAAAACATTCTCCCAGCAAGTACTAATATTTTAGGGAATTGCTGAAGAGTTACAGAGCCTTTAATGTGTGTCTAATGGAAATGAAAAATTCATTTTATCTTACGGGTTTTATAGAAGACAGCTTTGCTAAACCTTGTTTTAGCACAGTATAAACTTACTACTACTACCTTCTGTACTACCACCTCAAAGACCAAGAACTGTGTAGGCAATGGGTTTGGCTACCACCACTAGAGGAAGAGAAGGAAGTGCCCTCTACTTTTGTTGCCATGAATCGCAAAATTAACACTTCCTAGCAAAAAAAGTAGATCTTTGAAGGTTGCCCTGTAGTTGCCCTGTACATAAGTCTGGCAGAAAGCATCTTAGCCACCATTTTCTATTACAAAACTCTTCCCCTACATCTAATGCAGCCTAAATTAAATACTTCTTAATAAAATAGTTATTAAAAGGGAAGCCCAACAACCATGGCTCTAGGCAGTAATTGACATTACTGTTGCAACACTTTACACTTTTCTTCCTGCCAGTCCCTATTCTCAGTGTTACCTAATCAAGAAATCTTTTTTGTTAAAATAGTGTGACATGCAGCATGATGAAGACCTTCAAAAATCTAGGTAAGTACCATCTTGGAACTTGCTCCTCACACCAGTCAATAAGTTTCCTTCTTATTAAGGCATTAATGATAAAGTTCTGAGCAATTTTTAGAAGAGTAAATATTTGAGTTACACACAGACAAATTAGTATGACTTCAGCAGCCAGGCACACAGTATTTCATCAATGAGGATGAGCAGCTCACTTGAAAGGGCCTAATATTGTTTCATAAATAACTTGAACTATTTCCTAAAGAACACTTAAATACTGTTGGGATCCTGGGAAGTCTGCACTGCTTGCTTATGGGGAAATACAATTCAGTATATATCTTGCACAAGGGCAGAGCGTGTGTCAAATGCACACTATACTCACCACAAAGAAACGGGATTTATGTGTAGACAAGTCTTCACTGCATTTTTCTTTAAGGGTAGACTGAACAATCAGCTCATATAGCGAAGCTAGTTTCAAGCCCATAATCTGAATTCCTGAAACAGGTGATTTTTTTATTAGTATTTACATTATGACTGTACATGAAAGCTAATATTAAAACCAAAACCAATGTTTTGAAAAGACAAAAACATTAGTCTTCTTTCTTATTACCCTTTTTGCTAATGGAATTTGAGGTAGAGTGTTTAACAGCTTTGCCTGTAATTGTCATGTTTTTCTTAGAACTTTTGTGGTTTGCATTGGTTGCTAAAATGTTACAGTTGGGCTGACAGAACAGAACACGTTCTGCCCCAGAAACCAGTTTTTCCTCTCACAACATTACCACAGGGAAACAAAAAGCAAACAAGCAATGCATAGTCACAGAAGTACTTAGTCATAAAAACAGCTATAACATGCCTGTGAGCCTTTGTATCTCTTCAATACTGGATGAGGACATAGGAATAGGCTGCTGAAACTTTAACACAAAAAAAGCTGGCAAATCCACACTGAGTTCATCAGTCAGTGGCAAAAAAGTGGGGTTGCTGGGGAAAAAAAAAAAAGTCAGAATGAAAGCTTGTTACAGAAATTGACATAATTAATGAGTAATTTTTAACAATAAAAGAGTTCTTGACCCTTAGTGCAAGGCCACTGTCAGCTCCAGAGCAGTATAGTACTACATTCCATAGTTCTTCTGTCTTGAGAAAAGTTTTGCTTTATAAATGCATCTATAGCCTGTAACATTTTAAAACACAGTTAATGTGAAGACTGGCAGAAAGGAAAAGTAAGCCACCAGAAACTGAGGAACAGTGCACAAGGATGTTTGCTGTAAATCATTCTATAGTGATTTATTTTGGAGAATGACTTCAGACTTTTCTTCCAGCCTAGCACTGAAGTAGAGATGATGTGTCCATATCCATGGTGGGATGACAAACTATTTTGTATACTTAAAGTGTAATATCCCTCAATATATGCTTTATTTATTCTGACACTATGGAGCAGTTGTTTGTTGAATATTAAGTAATATTGTTCCAGTGGCTCCTTCTGGCTTCAAATCTATTAATAAAACCATAGTTCAATGCAATTGACTCAGTTAAATATGAACACCATAACTTCAATGGCCATTTGGGAAAACTGTAAAAGCCACAGGTTATAGAGGGTGTAGCTACAGAGCATAATGCCATCGATAAAACAGAGCTTCCTGTTTTAACAGAGGCTAAATGTAAATTATGCTGAGGTTAGTGCGAATGCCTCATAAATCCATTTACGTATAGAGAAGTGTCCAGAGCCTCACCCGTCCTCTCCCACTTGAGAATCTACAAGCAGTGGAGAGAGAGGAAGTCTGTGGAGCGTATCTGTGCCTTCAATGGTTACAACTGTTTTTGTTCCACATACCTGGGAACCTAAGGGAGAAAGAGAACTGTATTATTTTTCCTCATGTCAGTGTAGATTAATCCTATGCATACAAAAGACAATGGTAAGGTCTTTTAAAAAAGGTCGGGTCCAACTGACAGCCACAATGGAGCAGCAAGGAGAAGCCTGCACAGACCATTCCCAACATGCCAAAGTTGCTCAATGGCGATAGCAGCAATAGCTGCTTTTGGGACATGCCATGGAACAGATCAAGCAACCCCCAGTCATTTTCATGCTGGCTAGGCAGTTATTTTGTTTGATATCACTCTCGCTTCAATTTGGGTCAACAGCCAAGAAATAGGAAAGTAGTTTCCTGATGTGCATTATAATTGTGCTAAAGAACATCACATAAACCATTCTGCTAAACTAGAATTTTAAATCCTCTTTCTGAGTTTCATTAATGAACTTTGCTTAAGGAAACAGGTAGCGCTGAAAGAGTTATCACATTAGTTATTCCTGCTTTTCTAGCTTTACCAGGATTTATTTCTGCTTCCAAAACTTCATAGGGAGAAATGTAAAATTCAATGGTCATAGGAGTTCCTGAAGCATAATAAAAAAAAAAAAATATGGTTACTACACATCCGTACAGGAAATATATTAGGCACCTTGACATAAAGGGGGGAAAAAACCAAAGCAGTGTAGATGGGCAGAAGGGGATTCCTCGTAATTACAGTATACGTTCAAATCACAGCATTTTCTTAGTCAGCATTTAGCAGCTAAACCCTCAGAGTATAAAGACATCAGACATCTTTGAAAAGATTAGCTTAAGTTTCTATCTCTTGCACAATAACCTATTGTTCAGCCTTAAAAATACGAGCTGAACTGCTAGCTTTCAGTGACCAGTCCAAAATAGAAAGGAAAGTTGTAATACTTGCATAAGGGACACTCGCATCAAGCTGTGCAACAGGATAGCGGCAGCATGTTTTAGAAGTACTTTTATTAACTATAACACATTAACAGTTAAAGCTCACTTCTGACAGTGGAGCCAAAAAACCTTATCAGCTGACTGTATTTGCCTTTTAGGCAACATGAGTATTATCTCAGCTACTACCACTGTCATTGCACGGTTACTCCCAAACTGTGGTTTCCCACATAACCTCAGAATACCGCTGGCTTTGCTTTTGGGCTGCTGCAAAGTCAATGCTGCAGTAGCTGATAAACCACCTGGCCTCTTTGTATTTTCTCCTTCTCTATATCTGTACACTATCTGAGAATAACAACACAGTAAGTCCCTACAGCATGTTTTATTTATAATAGAGGCTCTTTACCGTAAACAAAGATCAACTCAGTAGTGGTTTTTATTACAAGTCTTTGAATCCACAAAGAAAGAGGAAAAACAACAAAAAAATCACCTCCAGTTCTTGGCACCAGATGTCCTACTTTTCCATGAAGTACTTCAGTAACTCTGTTTACATCCTGTGTTCTAGTTCAAAACACATCTTGATTAGTGTTTCCTGAGTCGCAGTGCTAGCTAGGCTAATGTAAAGGATAATTTGCACCCTTAATCAAAGGGAGACGATGCTGTCTTGGAAGTAGATTGTGTCTCCGTTTGTTATGACGGCTTCCAAAACACCATCATTCCACTCATGCATTACTGCTAGGACTGGGGCTACCAGTTCCAACCCTGTATCTGAGCTGTTTCATGTTGCAATTTAATGTACTATTTACCAGGAGAACAAAAATATTGGAGTCGCAGGTTAAGCAAAGAGTGAAGAAATAACCTGGATAAACGAACTCAAACAGAACCAATCGCTATCCTCAAATGTGATCATACAGCTGAATACATACAGCCATGCAATCGCATAGCTGTGTATTAAAACTCTGCAGTGCATCAACTTATATCATGGGTGGGACGAACAATCTATTTAACTCATAAATAATATTTACTGAGATATCAATGATCAGCAAGGGTATAGTATATTTGTTCATGGAGTTAGTATGCTTCATAAAGGAACACTGTACAAAAATAAGCCAAGAGCGTGTTTCAAGTTACAGAAGGCCATGCTTGCCGATAGTACTTAATAGGCAAGTTATCAGAAAAGATGTTTCAAAAATCCAGAAGGAAAGCACTGCCCTCGACTCTGATTTTCTGAAAAGAATGAAAATCATTGTACAATTACCAGAGGGTTTAGGAAAATCTGTTCCCTGTCTACCTGTAATCCTGCTCTTTGAAAGAAGAAAAGAAAAAGAGGATAGGAGGAAAGCTAGCATCCACTACTCCTGAGCTAAAACCTGAGCACAAAATGAGATGCCCAAACAGCAGGACCCCAGACAGTATGTTTTACATGTGTCCCAGGGCGATCTAAACAGGGCTGCTGCCTTTCAGGTGCACTGTTTGCTCCTGGTGGGTGGTCATATGCACACACCCAAGCTTTGCAACCAAACAGTTTCCCAGCAAATCCTGTAGCTAAAGCACAGAAGTTCAGTAGATCATCTTGTTTGGCGTGCCTGGGGTTGGCAAACTGCAGAAAGGCTTCAACCTTTCCAGTGGGAGAAAACCCATTAGCCTTCCACATCCTGCTCTGTAATTAGATCAGTTAACTTGTTTTTTAGTGAAATGAAGGGGTGGGAGTGGAGGGAAAGGGTGAAACAGATAGACTTCAAGTTACCTGTCTAAAAGAGACATTGAATAAAGATCTTTTTCAAGGGCCTGCAAAGCAAGGTATCCCTTCGCTTTCACTTCACTGGGAGAGAGAGAGAAGCAAATTATTATTTTTGTAAGTAAACAAAGGCTTGGCCATGGATCTTAAAAGTTTTTCAAGTGAAAACTGGCTGCAACCTGTTTCCTGGAACTTGATAGAGATTTGACAGGTCTTCTAGAATCTTTCCAAAGGCATCATAGTTCTTCATCCTACCAGAAAGAAACAATTGCTGTAATGCTACTAAATGAGATGGCTAATAAGTCTTTTATATAGAACTTGCTAGAAAAAACACCATTTCAGAGTGACATAGGCCCCTTATCAGATCTGGCAAGTAGCAGCACTGCTTTTAAGTTTTCTTAGAAGATACCAGGAAGTGTGAATCCTTGGCTCTGTTGCAAAAAAATAATGTAATTATAGCTGACACTGGTTAAATATGCACTTCTGAAAGCAATAGATGTGCACAATACACAAATTTGACAGCTCATCAGCTGCAAAGCACTTTTCCTGATCTTCCAATAAAGCTAGTCATGTAGTAACACTTCCCTAACACAATGCACTTGTACATTGTTCTTTTCATCAAAATATCAAGGATTGTGTTAATATTGCACTTCACAGCACCCTTAGAGACAGATGTTAAATACAATCGATAGATACATCAATCAAAAAAAGAACAGGGGACAAGAGGCTTGCATAAGTTTGTGAAGGAATGGTTCAGTTGGCTCAAAACCCAGAATTCCTTCAGATTCTGACTAGCTGTGATAGCCTGGAGCTCTGCTTAGACTAACCCACCAGGTATTTACTCACCGGCTTAAGTGGATTTTACAAGCCTTACTAGAGTCTAGTGCTGCAGTCACACAGAGATCTGTACTCAAGAACACATACCCTCCCTTGCTGTACCAATCTGGCTGCAATGTGGATCAACAGAGAGACCAAATAAACCCGCGTGGATTTTCACACTGGGACAAATCCTTTCCAAATAGAAACCTAAGCGAGTCACTCAGCTCTTCTGTGACTCTACTCTGCCCTGGTGAGACCCCACCTGGAGTACTGTGTCCAGTTCTGGGCTCCTCAGTTCAAGAAAGATGAGGAAGTCCTAGAGAGAGTCCAGAGGAAGGCAACAAAGATGGTGAGGGGACTGGAGCATCCCCTATGAGGAAAGGCTGAGGGAGCTGGGCTTATTTAGCCTGGAGAAGACTGAGAGGGGATCTCATCAACGTATACAAATATCTTAAGGGTGGATGCGATGAGGACAGAGACAGACTCTTCTCAGAGGTGCTCAGCAACAGGACAAGGGGCAATGGGCACAAACTGAAACATAAGAGGTTTCAATTGAATATGTGGAAGAACTTCTTTACTTTGAGGGTGACAGAACACTGGAACAGGCTGCCCAGGGGGGTTGTGGAGTCTCCTTCTTTGGAGATATTCAAAGCCCGCCTGGATGATGTCCTGTGCAACCTGCTCTAGGTGAACCTGCTTTAGCAGGAGGGTTGGACTAGATGATCTCTCGAGGTCCCTTCCAACCCTTGCCATTCTGTGATTCTTTCCAACTAGACTAGTGGGGAAACAGGGAAAAGGGAGGGACACAGGCATGCACGTAAAGGCACAGCACCAGCCTATGCATTAGCTGGCTGGTTCATCATGATTTCATAGTTACTTTGAGACTCACAGGAAACATTACCATGTGACAAACTGCCTTACAACCAAATAAAATACTACACCAAGAGGTGTAGAAGGGATGCTTGCACTTTGTGCCAAATCCTAACAAAAACAGGAAGGCAGACAAGTAGCACTCACAGTGCCAATGTAACTATATGCCATCGCTCAAAGCCAAACTGCTGGCAGTTAACATCACTGGGAGACAAAAACCTAGGAAAATGCAAGTTAAAGCTTTAAGACATAGCTGTTTACACCCATAAAGCTAATATAACTTTGTTTCTAAGGAAAAAGAGGACTGGAAAAATGCACGATGCATTACAGGCCCACGTAGAAGAGAGATGAAACATGCAAGGTCAGTGATTGTTCTTTCTCTCTTTACCTTCCCTTTCAACTGTTCTGCTGAGGTATTTAAATATTAATCAAATTTCTTCAATATACTCATTATTAGTAAAACCTGGAACCTTGATCATATTGGCTGGAGAACTTCTAAATGTTTTAAGGTGGTGGCCTGACCTGGAACAGCAACTATTCAGACAGAATAAAACATGTTAATTAAAAAAAAAAATATATATGTAGTGCCTTGCTGCTACACAAGAAAATTAAAGTAACATCTCCTCCTATGCATTTGCAAAGAAAAACAGGCCATGTGATATCACCTTGTTTTCATCGCCGTGACAGAAGCCTGAAGGACATGTAGTCAAGACATTTGCATAAGGACGATACAAAGACTACTTAGTAGTTGATGGAAGGAGAAGGGGAAAAGTAATATCTGGTTTGGATCTGTAAATCTGCCAGTTCTGAATTGTCATCATCAGTTCATTTCCAAAATTATGGGTCCAAGTAATTTTATAACTCTTGCAATCAACAGAAATGCCGGTATTCAAAGGCTGTGTTCAACTGGGAGCTAAAGCAAATTTATTGGGGATTACTCTTACCCATTGCTCCATTGAAGCAGATGCAATTTAGCTGTTTTCAATGGAATGACTTGAGAAATAAGTAATGCCTGGAGTATCTTTTCAAAATTATACTGGCTGCAGTTTTGGCCTTGAATTCACAAATTGGAAGCAGGTAATAACAGCTACAACCACCACTAGCCTCCAAAATGGAGCACTGGAATCAACTTCCCACATAAAACAAAATCCAAAAAGGTGCGAGTTGCTCTGTTGTTCTCTGGATTCATATTATTGTTTCCTGATTCTTGCTTTTTTCTTTTTTCTTTTTTTCTTCAGTTCTTATACTGAAACCATTCTAGCCTTGACTTCTCCACAACATTCAGAGAAACACAAGACTCAGGATTTCTTTTCCATTCAATTCTGCACATGATTCTTTACCTTAGATGCTGCACCAAGTCATCACAAACCTACAGGAATAAGAGAGGAGTTTCATGTTTCTTACCATCCTTTGTGAAACATCTCTTAAAAGCATCTCATTGGTAATAAGATCGTTCCCCATTACTTTTAATTAGCTGAATGGGTCGCTTAAAAAAAAAAAACCAACCAAAACCCAGACTAATATTACAATAGTTAAAACATAATTTTAATATAATAATTAAAAGAACAAAGGCTTCGTGGAAGAGGATAAGATTAACAGAAATAGTTTCTTGGTAAATTCTTTCCAGAAAAAAAAAGCATCTTTGCCTATTTTTCTTTTATTGGCAGTTACTGTGCTAAAATTCTCTGGATATGCATTTCTATCCTAATAATATTGTCCAGCACTCACTGATCAACAGCCCTGTGCTGGTTAAACAGAACAATTTGAAATTCTGGGGCTGACTGCAACTGAAAAAAAAGGGATTAAATTTACTCCAAGTTAATTTAACAATTTCGATACGTACTGATAAAAGTCAGAGTTTACACTCCCCACCCCCCTGCAACAGCTTGTTGTAACATCTTTGATCTGAAGGATTGTCTGTAACACTGAACAACTGCAGAACATGGAATGTGAACTGCAGAGTGATATTTTTCCAATATTTTAAATGAGAAATTTTGCAATAAAAGCATCCCCATTAATAGGAATGCACATACTCCTAAAGAAGGCAGAAAGAAAAACATAATCCCTGGTAACAGCTCCAAGACATCCACTGGGAATATATATTGCATTACACCTTGGTAGGAAAATATTTTAAGACCCTGTTATTTACTGTACATTGATAACATCAAAGTATGAGAATACAAATACTTATGCAGGGTACTACAAAATTCTTGGAAGGTGGGGAAGTCAGCTGAGTTTTACCTTAATATTTAGCGCTACAGTACTTAGTATCTGTAACCGAGCTGTAAGTTCAGGTGAGAGATTCAGATGCCTAAAGAGGTAGCTAGTGTCATGCTCAGGCTGGCAGGTGCGACAAGACCAAAAAGAAACCAAAGACTTTCTGACATGGCAGCTGGAGGCCAGGTGGGAGACTACAGGGAGGTGAGAGACAGAGAAAATTAACTTTACCACAGGAGCTTCCCCAAGGTGAGCCAACTTTACATCCATCACATTTCCATCCTTCTCCAGCTGAACTTCTATATAAAACAAGTTTGATGTTATGTAGCAGGTAGTCCCACTGGGGCTTATGTGAGCGCTAAGCCTTAGAAGAGGGGAAAGAGAAAAAGAAAAAAAAAAAGCTTGTATATCTAAAAATTCTGTCACACGAAGAAAGGAAATGAGTATAGTTTACTTGGTCGTGGGAAGAGACGCCAGGGATACTGCTTCAAAAATAACTCTTCCTTGGCTCAGCCCCAAAAACTATCCAACCAGTCTCTGATATTTGTGCTCTGCTCTTCTCATTATCATGTTGGTTTGCTGAAAATTATTTACCTCTGTCTGTAGCTTTGGGACCTAAGCATGCATGCCCTCTCTTCACCCAACAACCTCCTCCACAAAGGGCTTATCAAAACAGGCAGTTACGCCCATTCCAAGCAATACACTCCATTAGAGCACCAAGCTAAAAAAAAAAAATATTGTTGACGAGCCATCCAGACAGTATTTCTCACTGGACTTGGGGCCGTGTTTGCTCATTTGCATTTATTCATAAACAAACTTACCCTTTTTGTTTGGATAAAGATTCCAATCTGTTCATCACAGAAAACAAAGATTTAGCTGCAAAAAATGGAAATGTTATTTACTCAGGCTGCAATGATCAAGAAGTAGAACCAGTATTATCCTGCTTTAAAGGGTATGATTTAGGTAATGAGAAAATAGTATCTCTTGCATGACTTCTTGTTATTAGTGACAACTATTACTCTGTGATTAACGAGTGCTATGCTGGGTAGAGCTTATTCTCAGACTTTGAGAATAGCTATAGCCTGAAGCCTTAGTCCAAAGATGAGTCACAAGTCTCCTGTGTCATATCCCCCTTTATGTTTGTACATTTGACCTCTTTGTGCAGAACATCACCGACAGAGAAGGATGGGTAGTTCCCACAGAATATTAAAAAATACACTTTGAGTTATCTGACAGCTCATTACCATTTAACATCCTCTGTATCTTCTCCATGCAGGAGAGCAATGGACCACCTGGAGCATTACTGACAGGCTGTTGAGGTGGCTGATCCTAGCACATTTGTGAAAACAAGAGACAGAGAAAGACTCCTTAAATTACTAGCCGAAGAGGAGTATCACTGCATGTGAGACACAGAACACCAATGCCCAGTACAACAAAACACACTACTCATTTCTTTTTGTCAAACACAGAAGTGACCCATGATTGTAGCTATCACAAAAGTGGCAGCACTGAATGGATTCGTGAAGACCCTATAGCGCAGTAATTATATATCCAAGGCCTTTGGAGCAGGAAGCGGCTTTCCATTCCCTTTCCTTTTGAGCTGAACACAAGCTATGTCAGCTAATTTCACTGTGATGAGAGAAATCAACTACGAAAATACTTAGATTTTTATTTTAGGAGGAGTCTGCCTGAGTGAAAAGGACAGGTCAGTAAGTGCCACAGGTGTACTCGGTTAGACTCAGGGTGCAAGTTCCAGCTGAAGATATTAAGTAGCAAGCAAACTCTCCCACCTTCTCTTTGACCTCTTATCTGAAAAATTCTCATACTTCACACTTCAGTTCACAAAGAACATTCACTGCTGAAAAGTTTTCACTATTTTCAAATTCAGGACATTGTTTTCAGAGTAAGGCTTTAGTTAAGCATTAGTAAAAAGAAGCATGGAAGAAAATGGGATTTTTTTTATACCAAGCTCACAGTAGTTGTGCTAATCCACTTTTTATAAAGATGATTCTTAGATGTAGTTAGCTACTGGAATGGCAGGAGACAGTCTAGATAGCAGGTTTCAAGCCAGTTTCTGAAAAACAGTCTTTTCTCCCAGTCCTATGGGCAAGAAATTCTCTTTACATACTATTAATATGCTAATGGATGGAAAATAACCTAAAGTATTAGACAATCAGAGCTAACTCCTGAAGAGTTAAAATAATGCAGGAAACTTTTTCTATGCACTGTTGTAAGAAAAACCAGGAGCCAGACTATAACAGGCACCAGTTTGGGGGTTTTGTTGTTGTTTTTAAAAAAAAAAAAAAAAAAAAAAAAAAAAAAAAGTCAAGCATTTTTGAACCATCTTGGCAACCTGCTCTTACACCACATACCCTTCTCGCGCCTAATCTGCAATTCTTACCATGCAAAAATGGACAAGTTTCAGAGTTTCAGTCCATGGTCTTTGTCGGTATTTTAAATGCAATTGTTCCATTAAAGCATTTGTAGAAACATCTGTCACAGCACCTGAAAAACATGTCAAAATGTTCTACATATAATGGTATGTATTTACATTGGTAACTAGAATAGTTGGAGAAGGAAAAATATAAAATCTTGCTAAGGTCGTAGGTGTTATACTTCAAAAGAGGAAGCAGAAAAAAATTGTTTTAGCTGAATTTTGCATACAAATATCTAATTTTTGTAAGACTTCTTTCAGAAAAAGTGTGTGGGGAGATTTTGTATAGGCAAGTATTCTCAGTATTAGATACAGAGATGCAGCGTCTTCTTCAGCTTATTAAGCAACTAGGCTTTCTTTACATATACACAATCTCATATGTGTATTCTTAATAAATACCAAGGCCTTGCCATGGGCTTCAGGCATGTCAATTTCTACATCCACCTAGAGCTCATTAGAACTAATTTTGATTAGAGATAAAAAATTAGAGATAATTTTTTACAATAAAGGTGGTGAAACACTGGAATGGATTGCCCAGAGAGGTGGTAGATGCCCCATCCCTGGAAACATTCAAGGTCAGGTTGGAGGGGGCTCTGAGCAACCTGATCTAGTTGAAGGTATCCCTGCTCATTTCAGAGGATTTGGGCTAGATAACCTTTAACAGTCCCTTCCAACCCAAACTATGCTATGATTCTATGATTTTGCAGAAGGATAATCTCAATGCAGAGTTGTGACTTTTTCTTTTCTCATTAGGATGGCAAGGAAGGAGAATGGGGCCAGGAGAAGGAACATTTTCAGCCCATCATCAGTCTCGTTACAAATATTCTTTCCAGCCTTGCACAGAATCCAGAGGCTCAAAGGAAGTTTTTTGCTGAGACATGGTGCATCCATAACCACTAATTCCATCAGGAATAAACCTGGAGTGAACTTCCTAATGCATCAGCCTAAGACAGGCAGGAAGACACCAGACTGATTAATAAGAGGAAATTGGGTCCCTGCAACATGCCACACATTCTGCTCTGCCTGTTAGCACCAGAAGAAACATTGCAAAGTGCTTCTTTGACCTAGAGGGCACAACAGCCACAGAGAATTGTCCCCTTTGAGCTAGCAGTGCTGCAGGGCAGGTGGGAGACAGACTAGGAGAGAGTCCTCTATACCCTTAGCATACACCAACAAGGGATAACGAGTGGGGGCTGGCAGCATCTTCCTCCTGCTGGGGGATGAGAGAGCAGAAACCACAATCCCCTATAAAGCAGGCCACCTCAACCAGCTGGAGGAAAAGGAAGCAGTGGACCCCAACCAGCTCATGCAAGCACCACTACTGGGGAAAATTCCCCCATTCCCACTCACCTATGTCTTGATGCCCACAGGCAGACTGCAGCCCACCCTCCATCTCCACCCACACAACAGGAAACCAGGGCTCCTACTTGTAGCACCTGCACCACAGCACCCACAGGTGCTGTGCAGGGCAGAAGGATTTCTCCCTCACAAAACTGGTCCCCAGGGGTTAGTGTTTGAGCTTGAGAAGCTTGATAAGCACAGTGACATCACCTCTCAACTCTGCTAATTTTTTAGAAGAGGGAGACACCCTTTCAGTTGTGGTCTTCCACATATAAGTCCTAATGTCTGTCCCCATCTCTTCAGAAGGTGTAGTGCTCTCAGGAAAACACTGAATTTAAATGGGAAAGAAAGGCAGGGGGAGGTATGATAGCAACAATCACAGAGCAAAACAGGGAAGTACTCCATAAGGGAGCTTTTAGTCTAGCTCAGGCATGGAAGAGAAAAAAAAATACTATAGCTATCTATAATGTTTGTGTTGTATTTGTGCATCCTTTTGTGGTCATCTCCTGTTGCTAGTCTCCTTGTACATAGGAATCAGTGTGCAATGGCAGTGTGATGTTGGACCTTTGCATAGGCACTAGCTTGAAACTTGGTCACCGGGGAATGCCAGGTCTACAGCAAGAAGAGCACGCTTCCTATATAACCCCTGTGTGGCAGTTTTTCAAGATGTCTTACAGCATACTTTCTGTTTTCAGCTGTCATCAATCATACTGCAGTGCCTGAAATAGTCTCATAACATGTAAAGGAGATGATCTTGGACTTGTATGTAGGTACTTGAGTAGAAAGTAAATAGTTCAGTGGCCTTGCTAAGATAACAAAGGAAACTACATATGGACCTAGGAATCCCAGGAGAAGTATAAGGTATATGCCAAAAAGCGGTACTTGTCTCCAGACAGGTGCCATGCCTATTACTTAGGGAAAGTCAATGCAGCTGAAAGAGTTAAGTATGTTTGCATTTCAGCTTTACAAAGGAGGTGAAAGATGATCAAGTAAATTGATGATGTAATTCCACACTTGTGGTAGATCACAATTCCCTAAAATTATTAGCTTGGCTTATGCTACTAAATATTCATTTGTTTTTAAAACTGACATTAGAAGTGACTATAGGTATAATCATGAATTTTACTTGTGACTTGGTGCATTCATTTAAAAATGTGTTTTCAGCATTTCTAGAGAGGCATTTTAGCTTAGGTTTGCTTGAACAATGTATTTAAATTTTTTCTGCTGGGCAAGAACGTGTACTATGGCCCATGTAACATAAGTAAGTGGTTTGCCTCAGTCTAGATCACGTGAATGGGTGTGTGCACATATGGCAAAGCACAACTTGGTAGTGTTTAATATTTTTGTAGTAATTTTCATAAATGTTTGCCCTGATCCAGAGCTCACTGGATCCTCTGTAATCTTGATACAGTATCCAGTGGTTTGATCGTGTCCTGAATAAGCAGAAAAGTAAGTTATTTGCTGACCCTCTTGAAGAGAACAATTCTGAAATAATGGAGGGAAACATGCCACTGCTTACTTTGTCTGCACAATAGCTGTCCTGCAAATAAACAGAGGACTTGAAATTTAAGTAGTCACAGTCCAGCTTGGCTGATAAGCCTAAAATTCACCTTAACTTTTAAACACAAAATAACCTTTTCCATTGTGCTTAAAAGTTTGTATTTGGGTAGATGAATTTGCATCACTTTTCTAGGACACAGTCCCAGATTTTCATAAAAAGACAAATATTCCAAGACAAGTGCTAGCCTTCATACCTACAAAAAATTGTAACATTGGTTAAGATCATACATGAGAAATGGCAGCTT